CTAGTCAAGGGAATTGCCTCTATTAATTTCGTTGAGATTAATACGTGATGCCCACTTTAACTTTAGGTCTCAGGAATCTACTAAGACTGACGGTAGATACGGATCCTGTTCCAGTTGATTTAGATTTATGCTCTACCGATACAAAGAACAAGGTACTTTTCTCTGTTCATCCGATGAGATATTTCAGGTTGTAATTGATGTTGAGAAGTATCCTGATTTTGTTCCTTGGTGCAAAGCTGTTTATATAAAAGAAAAATTCGATAGTCAAATGGTTGTGGATCTCCTAGCAGCTTTTCATGGTATTAAAGGGAGATATACATCAGAAGTAACCTTTCTTTCTCCAAGCAGAACAAATGAAGGTTGGATAAAAGCCGTATCATCAAATGGAATATTTNTTTGCTACTTGAATTTTTGAAAGAGACATTGTTACTGTATAATTATAACCTATATACACGTTCATCACAATGTAACATCAGCACTTGTCGCTGTGTGAAAATGAACTGAGTGACAAAGTTTGCTAGCAGCCCATTAGACAATGGCTGGGGTTTGCAAGCTAGTTTTGAAGGTAGAAATCCCTTGCACTTGTCTGTCAGTTGCCACCCTCTTTGCAGTCTTAGTATGCCTCCAAAATGGATTCTTGGAAATACTTGGGGTGGTGAGGCTGTGCGGATTTTAGTGCATTAACCTTCTGAAATACAGTAGTTTGTCCTTCACGAACTTTACAAACCGTTAGTTGGACAAACCCTTCTGCAATTCTGAGAATCACTGTTCCTGCAGCCTGCTAATTTATTTCTGCGTGAGACTTCTTTTCTTCTAGTCTGTTGGGATATTGTCTTTACAAAAAAATATTTCTACTAACATTTTAATATTGATTTGAATATCAATTAGCTCTAAAAGTTGGGGGGGCCGCATGTTTGACATGCCTGCTTTAGTGGATCTGTGTTCAAACTGCCAGGAGCAGATATCAGTTGGGATTGTAAAAAACAAAGGACTGTAGCCTTGTCAACCACAGAAGCAGAA